AATCGGTGGGGTGCCACAGACAGAACGCAGCTTCGGCATCATACACACCTGGGTGTGAATCCCAGCTGCATCACAGGGTATCACACAACCTTGGGCAAGTCACCTCACTTCTCTGAGCTTCAGTCTCCTCATTTGTAAAATGTATGATGATGCTTAAACCCATAGGGTAGCTATGTGGATTGAATGAAATAATACAATAAAGGAGCTGGCTCTTAGCAGGTATTCAATACCGCTTGCTGTAAAAACTAATCCGTTAGCTGTGCATACAGAGTAATTATTCCTCAGAATCACCCCCAGGGATCTCACGTGTCAGCTGAAAACGTTCCAGGACTGTACCTGGGCCACAAGCAGCCTGGATCACCTGGATCTTTGCGTAGCTTTCCCTCCTTAGAGGCTGCGAACCCTGCAGCCCCCTGCGCCTTGTCCCCTGGCTCACCAAGGGCTGCTCAGGAGAGGGAGTCGGGCCTGGGAGGGCTTTGCCAAGGTCGCAAGGGCAGGAAGCTAGCCTTTGATCTAGGGCCCCATGAGCGGCCTGCTGAGCCAGGAGTCAAGGGAGACCTGGGCCCGCTCAGCTGCGACACAGGGATGGGGGATCACCTTTCCCCGCCAAGGCAACAGTCACTCACCTCAGTAGAATGACAGGACTGATGTCCACTGGGGGTTTCCAAACTGTGTTTTGAAAATAAAGTATATTCATGTAAAGGAACACACACACACAAACTTCCTTTTCAAAGATACACACATATCTAAATATCTAAATGATAAATGGATTGGAAGACAAGGATGGGGTCAAGGATGGAGAATGCAACAACTAACCGGGGGGCCCTGCAGGGGCGATGGCCACGTACACCCTGAGCTGAGGCTTCGGAGTGACTCTGTGCGGGGCCACGGGGTGGGGTTGGGGCGCTGGGGAAGCCTCTGCGCCAGGCAGAGCCATTCCACTCCCTTCCTGGTGGGCTCTGGTTTGCACAAAAGGTTCTGCTGCTACAAGAACATCTGGCGGCCGGCAGAAGGATGCGCTCTCCCACTCCCCAGATTACAGGGTGGCTCTGGAACCCGATGAGGCCAGTATGAGACCCAGACTCGTGTGGAAGCTGGAGCCCTGTGGCCCTGTCTCCCATCGCATATTCCCTTTCACTTCGCAGTATCAGATTCTCCCCCATCTCCCACTCAGGCTCCTCTGTGCCTCCCTCCCTGGTCCCCCAGCATCTCCTCCATTGAACTTATTTCCGTGAACTTCTCATCTAAGGGTACAGCTCAAATGCCCCCCTCCGTCTCGACAGCACGTCGGAGGGATCTGTCTGTCTCCAGCATTTGCTGGGCTGAGAGCCCCCCTTGGACCCTTTTGAGGCTGCAGGGCTGGCACGGGGCCCAGCAGAGCGCGGTCAGGAGTGGGACGGAGGACAGCAGCCAGCCTGATTTCCTACACAGCTCAGATTAGAGAAGAAACCCACCGCCATGCCTTTACAACGCTCAGTTTCCTAGCTGGGAAACAGAACCAGTCTTCCGGGAAGGGGTTTCACTGTCTAGCAGCCCAGATATTCTGGGGGCCAGGCCTGAGCCTGAGCCCTTAACCAGAGAGCAGGAAAGAAATGGAATTCCATCGTGCTCCGGATGTCAGTGCCAGCACTTCTACTTGCATTAACTTTATTTATTACACAAATAAGACATTTACAAAGCACAACATGAAAGGTATGTAACAAAACAGACATTGGTTTTACAAAAAAGTGCTTACAATTTTTTTCCGTGTGTGTGTGTTTTCCTCCTTTTGTTTCGTATTTAAATAAATAGTCTTGATGGCCTGTACGTTCCCAGGCTGTTCTAACAGGCTAGTGGAGACGTGTCTGAACCGCAGCATGCTACGACCATGTGATCCACGCAAGGAACAGACCCTGGGGGGAGGCTCAAGGCAGAGTGGGTACTGGGTGACCCTGGGCATGGCTCGGCTGGCCACTGACCACGTCAAAGGAAAGATTAGAGCTCCCCAGTCACCAGGAACTGGGCCCAAGCTGCTCCGGTTAACGTCAGCTCCAAGGGTAGGGCCAGGCACACTCTATTCACCGGGTGAGTTCTGAACCAAGCTGCACTGATCACATTCTGAGGGGTGTCTTTCCTTTGCCCTGAGTCAGCTGGAACTGTCTTTGAAAGGGAAAAGAAGCAAGTTCCCTTCTTGGGCTGCACCCGGGCCCAGCCCTCCTCCAGGTCCCAGAGTAAGAAGAGCATATCGTTTTTCACGTTAAGTGCCAACTTCAAGCATGTGGATTCCGAACCCTTATCCAGACTCGGCGAGATAGAGAGTGCTGCGATCGATTAGCGATGTCTGCCATGGGTGAAACCGGGGCAGCAGACACCTAGGTACCATGAACTTGCTTTCCCTGTCCTAGAGTCTCCTTCCGAAAGCAACATATCAGGTTAATCAAAGCAGGAAGGAGGACTTGGGCTGAAACATGCTTACTAGCAGCCTCTAGTGGGAAATGCATCAGGACACCCAAGTCATTCTAAAATTACAGGATTAGCCTGGGACAAACGGGGTCCCCTGAAAACATAAATCATGGTCTTGTGTAGCCCAAGCCCTTTTGTTTGGGGTGGAAGAGCTGCAGCAGGACAGGGTGGATGTGAGCACAGCTGTGTCTGGCCTGCGTTCTCAGGAGTGAGTGGGACTGGCTCTGGGCAGGGTTGGTGGGGAAGCCCAGAAGTGCTAGCTAGAATCCTGGGGTGCTACCACCTAGGCAGCAGGCACCCTCTCTCTACTGAGCCAGGGGCTGAGCCAGGGCCTGCCCCGCCTGGTAGCACCCCAGAAGTACACTCACCCAGGCAGCAGGCACCCTCTTTCTACTCAGAGGTGGGTCTAGAATGAAAGCTCTGCCCTTTCCCTGGGCTCTGTTCCCCAGCTCCCCCATGAGAGGTCCCCCCAAAGAAGACGTGGCCCAAGCACCCCCATCAGGAGTCAAGTAGCCAACAAGGGTCCCCAACTCTAACTTGTCCAAGCGTTCAGAAATGTCACCACACAGATCAAACACCACCTCTGCTATGTCTCCTGCACATATGCTGGATAACTAGGTGAAAGCAGGGTCCCCGACACACACCCCGAGTTTCCTCTGTCCTCTCCTTAAAATGGCTAGTACTTCTCCCAGCCCAGTGTGCCGCATCCTTCTCCTGGGCCTCCAAACCCATGGGGGTCCTTGCCCCACCCCCTCCCCCCGGCCCCCGCTTTTCCCCCTGCCTCTTGGTCTGGACAGGCCTCCATCTGTGCCCTATTGGGCCTCTCAGGGTTGGTCAGTGTCTCTTCTCTCTCTGAATTAACTTGACATAACCAGACAGATGGAAATGATAAAATTAGAACATAGCTTTCCTTTGGGGACATCCCACAAACACTGTAGAGTTTTCCAAACAAAAGCAACAGAGTGGATAACATTGGGGGTTGTCCGCTATTCAGAATTCAGAGATGGTTCCAAGGAAGTAGTAAATAAAGGCCAATATGGGAGGAAAGAAAACCTGTAAATTGGAAGGCTGTTGGCGTCGTGCGATTCAATTCGGCCTTTTGCTATTGTAATCAGCTTAAGTTGAAGACGACTCCTGTCTAAATGGGAAACACAGGCTGTTGTTTTCACCCTGGCTCCAAATTTCAGGGAGCTCTGCCTTCAGGGAGGAGGGCTCCGCGGTGCTCCTGGCGGGTTCTGGTTCTCGGCAGGAGAGGGGAAGGCCAGGCCCAGGGGCTCAGCTGGTGGTGGGCAGGATGGCGGATGAGGGGTGGAGGCAGAGCGGGTGGATCCCTGGCAGCGGCTCGGACTCCGGATTTCAGCGGCTGAGGGGCAGCTGCCGGGCGCCCATGCTCAGATGCGGAAGTGCCGGCAGCGTTAGTACTGAAAAAGGATGACCTGCAAGAGGAGGGCGTGGGAGGGGGCTGAGCCAGGGCCTGCCCCGCCTGGTAGCGCCCCAGAAGTCCTCGAAGGCATGGAGAAGGAGGCGGGCCCAGGGCCCACATCTAGGTTCAAATCCTGGCGCAGACACTTACTTGCTGCGGGGCCCTGGGCAACTCACTCCCCCTCTCTGAGCCTGTTTCCTCATCTGTAAAATGGGGATGACAACACCTCTCTCTCAGAATGGGAGGATCTGGTGAAATCCAAGAGCAGCAGCAAGTGTCTCCTGGGCACTATACCCGGCACTGGGTACAGTGCACACTTGCACGATTTCACAGAAGCCTCACCTCAGCCCCACGAGGGTGTCCCACCACCATCTCCTCTTTACAGGGGAGGCCGCTGAGGCTGGGGAGGTGAAAATCAGTGAGCCCGCAATCACACAGCCAGGAAGAGGTGGACCCAGCACTGCAACCCAGGCCTAGGGTCTAGAACAAGCTCTCTTCATTAGACCCACTGCCTCTTCCTCTCCAGGCCACCCTGACATTTACCCGCGGTGCCTATCAAGCACCAGGCAACAGGCCAAGCCCTTCATGCAGCCAAACACCTCGACGGGCAGGTGGCTCAGACACGCCAGGTGCCCGACACACAGTGGGTGTGTTCCCAGGTCTCAAAGAGAAAAGGTGGCTGAGCTGGGGTCCGGTCTGCCTGACTCCAGAGCCCACATCACACGGCCTCGCCCACTCACCCCACCTTGGGCCGTGCTCCCCTCTGGTCTCTGGGATGTCTGCCTGACTTTGGACTCTTCCGAACAGAAGCTCTCTCAAGAGGGGTGACTCTGAAAGACGCTTCCCCTCCATAAGCCTCAGTCTCTCCATCTGATCGATGACGGCCGGGCCCTGATTTCTAAGAGCCTTCCAAGCTCTGAACTGTGGGATCTGGGCCCATGACCGGGAATAAATGTGGTCCTGGGGCTTCCCTGGTGGCGCAGTGGTTGAGAGTCTGCCTGCCGATGCAGGGGACTTGGGTTCGTGCCCCGGTCTGGGAGGATCCCACGTGCCACGGAGTGGCTGGGCGCGTGAGCCATGGCCGCTGAGCCTGCGCGTCCCGAGCCTGTGCTCCGCAATGGGAGAAGCCACAACAGTGAAAGGCCCGCGTACCAAAAAAAAAAAAAAAAAAAGTGGTCCTGGAAGCTCACAGGCAGGTGTGGCCAAATGATGATGTGGTGGAGGCGGAGGGTGCTACCCCAGATGCCCACAGCGCTGTTCTCCCGGCCAGGCCAGTGCTGGTCTTGATGAGTGGGTTCAGGGGGCTGCTCTAGGGGGCCCTGAGTCTCCTCCTCACTAGGCTGGCTCAGGCCCGGAGGGACTTGGGAGAAAAAGCCCATGCCGTTCTGCACTGACTGGCCATACACACAGCCCGCCAGGCTGGCAAGATGTGGACAGAAAAGGTCCCTGGCCGCTGGCAGGAAGGTCTGGCAGTGAGAGGGCGGAAGGTCATGGAGGAGGCGGAGACATTTTTCTGCAGAGCCGCTGGACACGAAGTTGGGGATATGGCCCAGCAAGAGAAAAACTCTGGCTCAGCAGCCAAACCCAGGGGCCAGAAAACTTCCACGACCAAAGCTGCCAGACCCCAGACCGGCTCATCCTTCAGGCTGAACCAGACATAACCACAGGCTTAGCTGAGAAACCAGGAGACGAGGGCTCGACTCCAAGAGCTGAGCCCAGCCCTAATCTGTTGCAAGGCTCCCCTCTCCCCTCCAGATAATAGCTGCTCCCAGGCCCCTTGCTTGAAGGTGCAAGGCCTTCATTATGTGACCCCCTGTCAGCTCCAACCCCACCCAAGGCCTCAGCCGCACTAAACCCCCCACCATCCCTCAAATCCAGGTCCCTCCAAGCCTCCTTGCCTCGCACGGGCTCCTCGTGTCCCCTGCTTCTTCCCGAGAGCTGGCCACTCCCTCTTCTGAATCCTCGAAGGCCACGTGCATCCCTCACCGCAACTGCCCTGTCAAGCTGGGATGTGGCTGCCTGCCTCCTGCTCTAAGCCACCCACCCCCTCCCTGAGGACAGGGACCACGCCAGCTCGCCTCTGCAGTCCCGGTGCCAGGTCTGACAGGACAAACTCTCTCCCACAGGACGGGGGCAGCTCCGAGGCAGGCAGTCCTAGGATGGAGGCCAGCTGTACCCACGCTCACTGTGTGACCCTGGGCAAGCTGCTGCTCTGACTGAGACCCAGTTTCTGCAGTTATGAAATGGCATCAACCATAGTCATCCTCCTAGGGAGACAGTGAAGGGCGAGGTCAGAGAGAGCGCTGTGTAAACTGTAAAGTGCGGCACAGAAGGAGGTCACTACTGAACCGGGCGGACTTCAGAGTCTGACAGACGTGCTGCATCCCCGGACAAATTGTGTCACCTCTCTGAGCCTCTGTTTCCTCATCTTTACCGTGACGATGCCATCCTCATATCCACAGGGTGACTGGGTGGCATCAGACAACACGTGTGAAGTGCTTCAACCGAAAGCAGCCCTTCCTGTATGACTATCTCGGAGGGGACGTTCCTGGGGCGTGCTCACCCGCCACTGGGGTCTGCGGGATGTGGGGCTGAAGATGTACTACCATTTACTTATAAACCTACTGCTCCTACTGGGCTGTCCGTACCTCCGCACCATCTACTTTCCCCACGGTACCCAGCACAGAGCCCAGCACAGAGCCCAGCACAGAGCCTAGCACACAGCAGGTGTTTAATTAGGAGGCAGAGTAAGAGGGGCTGTCCTGGAGGAGTCGTCCCACGCCTGTCTGCCTGCCAAAATCACTGGGGCTGGGTATTACACCCGCAGATCGCGGGGTCCCGTCCCAGAACTCCCCACCAGCTCTCTAGGGGCGAGGCTGGGGAATCTGCATCTCTACACGCTGCCCAAATGGTGCTGCGGCACATGAAGACTGCACTCAGCCCGAAGGCCTGGCCCTGCCTCCGTGGCCCAGCACACCCAATGATTCCTGGGGCTCCCTGCCTCTCCGAGGACCACTATAGTGATGCTTCTAAAAGAGGCCTCCAGGGCCCACCACGGTCCACAGCCTTCACCTGGCAGCCCAAGGCCCCCGCCTCTCACTCTGTTTCCTCCCAAGCCTGTGTGCCAGCAGCACTGAATTGCTCTGGGTTGCCTGAGAGCCGTGGCGGCTCATGCCTTCCCGGCTGAACTCTGAGGTTCAGACGTGCCTGCGTCCAGGAAGCCTTCCTGTGTCTCTCCCGAGCTGCGCCCCACCCCCCAGCTCCCTTGGCCTCTGCGTCGCAGTTTGATCACCCTTTGGTGTAACGTTGGCCTCCTCGAGGGCAGGGACTATGCCTTCCTCATCTCTGTGCTCCTGGCAACTGACTCGGGGCTCGCGGGCACCGTCAGTACATAGTGAATGTCGGCTGAATGAGTGAACGCATCAAGGCACAAGTTCTCATTCAGGCTCTGTGACCTTGAGCCACCTGGGCCTCAATTTCCCCGTCTCTAAAATGAGAGGGTGTCTGAGAGCAGTGGCTTTCAAGGCTCGCTGGGAAGTGTCTGGGAGCTGAGCCGGAGGTGAGGGCCCTACTCACTCCGCAGTTTCACCCAGAGCAGCTCCACCCCCTTTCATCTGCATCTTGTGTTATGGAAAAGAGTAAACAAACGGGTTCCCGGGCTTAAAACAAAGCTTTCAAGCCACTGGACTGGGCGATGTCCAAGCACCGTTCTGGGTGTCCAGTCCTAATGCTTGAGACAACGAGAGATCGGGTTCCACAGAGGAGGCCTTACCAGTTGACCACGGTCACTGGCTGGCCTGCTGTCCCCGGGCCCCACCAGCTCAGGATATTCACTCCCAACAGACAGGAATACAAAGGAGGAAGTAGGAGAAACCCGGGAGATGGTGGGAGGCGGGGTGGTGTGTGATATAAGCCCTCCTCGGGACCGCCAAGTTTGAGCAAAGTAACTAAATCCACAAATCTGAAAAAGAGAAGGGCAGCCACGGGCGGGCGCGCTGCGGAGGCTGGCCATGCGCACTGAGCGCACTGGCGCCTGCTTGAGGGACTACTACCTCGGGGGCACAGCGGGGGCCTGAGTGTCTGGGCAGAGGGTCTGCCACAAAGTGGCACGGTGCCTGCTCAGCGGAAGCCGTTCCTGGCAAGGTGGCTCTGACCCACCCAACCCAACCCAGCTCCGTTTACCTTCTCACCCCGGTTGGAGAGTGGCCCATCCATATCGGCTTTGAGGTGGACGGGGGGCGCGGTGTAAGGCAGCCGGCAGTGCACCTGCCCACACTGTACCTGACCTGTGGACGAGAGGATGCCTTGGAGCCCATCCCCCAGCCTCCATGCAGGATCCCACCAGCCCCAGGCTCGGTAGGCTGGAGCCCTGGGGCCAGTTTCACCTCTGCCACTTACCAGCTGGGTGGTCCTGGGCAAAATTTCAATAGGGTACCATTTTTCTACGTGAAATTCTTTATGAGCTATAAAGTGTTACACGATAACTGTCTAGCTCACTGATAAATAAACTCATAAATGAGTATGGACAGGCACCCCTATGTTCATAGCAGCACTATTCACAATAGCCAAGACATGGAAACTACCTAAATGTCCATCGACAGATGAATGGGTAAAGAAGATGTGGTACATATATACAATGGAATACTACTCAGCCATAAAAAAGAATGAAATAATGCCATTTGCAGCAACATGGATGGGCCTAGAGATTATCATACTAAGTAAAGTAAGTCAGAAAGAGAAAGACAAATACCATATGATATCACTTATATGTGGAATCTAAAATATCGCACAAATGAACTTTTGTGCAACAGAAACACATTCATAGACATTGAGAACGGACTTGTGGTTGCCAAGGGGGGCTGGGTGGGAGAGAGGTGGAGTGGGAATTTGGGGTTAGCAGATGCTAACTATTATATATAGAATGGATAAACAGCAAGGTCCTACTGTATAGCACAGGGAATTGTATTCAACATTCTCTGACAAATCATAATGGAAAACAATATAAAAAAAAGCATGTGTGTATGTGTATATATATATATATATATATATACATACACACATATATATGTATATATATACACACACATATATGTATATATATACACACATATATATATATATAACTGAATCACTTTGCTGTACAGCAGAAATTAACACATTGTGAATCAACATTGAAATTAAAAAAGTAAAAAAAGAAAAAGAAACGGATATGTACAGAACACCTCCTACACGCAAGGCTGTACCCCATCCATTAGAATCCTCCCTTGGTGCACTGTACCTTCTTATCTCCCAAGAATCACCAAGGCTTTACCCCCACACCCTAGAGGACTCTGCACTCATATGTCACCTTCTTTATGATGCTCTCCCTGACCACCCATTTACAATTGCAACCCAACACCAACCCTACCCTCCCTGTCATCCTTCTCAGCTTTATTTTTCCTCTTTAGCACTTACCATCATCTGACTTACTGTGTATTTTTATTTTTTATTTGATATTATCTGTCTTTGCCAGCTGTAATGCCAGCTCCAATGAGGGCAGGAATTTTTGTCTGTTTTCTAGATTCTAGATCTTTGTGGATTTCCAGGATCTAGAATGAGGCATGGCATCTAATCTGTTGAATGGGTCTCTGTACAACATCTAAAATGGCGGTGGCGGGGGTGGGGGGAGTCCATCCTTATGTCTGACCCAAATCTCTCATGCTTCAGCCTCTTTACCACTACAGTGGAGAAGTCTATGGCCTTGCTCTTCTCTGCACTTCATCCTCTTTGGTCAGAGGCGAAAGAGCTCTGTACAGAGACTTACAATTGATATGTAACTTAGGACAAGTCACTGTTCCTTTCTGAGCCCCAGTTCCCTCGTTTGTAGAATACGGTGGTTGTATAAGATGGGGGATTCTTAACCTGGGGGGTTTTAGGGGTCCACAAACAGCCTGAGATTACATGGGAAACTGTGTGTGTGTGCACATTTCTGGAATCTGATTCCAAAACTTTTTTATCATATTCCAAGTTTGAAGTCTCCGGGAAACTCAGAAACCTGTGAATTTAGTAAACGGCGAAGAAGAGTGCTAGCGTGACCTTCAGTCATGCAGCAAGAGGCAGCAGGTCCAAATACCCTTGATGCCTCCTGCCCTGAGCTGGGTTCGCCTTAAGGGGAAAAGGAAAGGTTACCTCAGCCCCTTCTCTAGGTGTCCAAGACAGTTCTAGACTTGGCCGACAAACTGTGTGGGCAGAGTCCTGGCACAGCTCCGGAGGCCACGGCCCCACTCTCCACGGGGCCACCTAGGTCCATTACCAACTCCACAGCAAGCGCCGGCTGGTGGCCCAGACTCCTGGTACCTAGAGAGCCCCTGGTCCTTGGCTCCTTTAACAGATGAACTAGATCAACAATGGGCTCTCTGCAGCCTCAACATGTCATTGTTTCAAAAAGAAAGGGGGAAAAAAGTCCCTCCTACTAAGCAGATGGTTCAGAAATGGAACAGAACAAAGAGACACTGTTTCCAACTGACAGCCTGGCGCGGTGAGCAGGGCTCTACACTCTCAGCTCCACCAACCAGAGCCACTGCCACCACCACAAGGGCAGCTAGTACTCATCCAGCACTTACTAAATGCTGAGGACGTTAAGTCAATGATCTCATTTGATGCTCGCAACACTGCTTTGAGATACGTATTCTTTCCGTTTTTTAAAAGGGCTTGGATTCTTACTGTCCTCATTTTTTACAGATGAGGAAACTGGAATTCAGGGATGCTAAGAAGCTTACCCAATGTCACACAGCTAGTAAGTGACAGGGACGGGATCCGAAGCCCCACAGTCTGATGCTAAAGCCCACATTCAATCATTAAGGAACCTGGCTCCCACTAACTTACTGTTGGCCCTTGGTTTCCTCATCTGTACAATGGGATGGTGATGTTTAGAAACATGTGGTAGGACAGTGCCTGGCACATGGCAGGGACTCAGGACACAGCTGTGCTCTCCCTGACCTCCCTTCTCTTTCCCTTGGAGCCAGAGAGGGAGGGTTTGAGTTTGTGGGTATGTTGTCATCACTGCTATATTTCTGGTCATGCCCAGCTTTGAGGAAACAATCAATAGAAACAACCTCAAAGGGAAAGAAAATCTGTGATAAGCACCTGCTCAACAGCAGATTCACTGAATGTCCATCCCCCAGAAATGCACAAGCCTACTCTCTCTCTTTCCCCCAGGTTCCTGCTCGAAGGTCACTCCACCACAACCTGCCACCCCCTCTCCACCACAGTGCTCAGTCCCCACTGACATGCCTGCCCTCCATCCTTTATTCGTTTATTCTCTCTCCCCCCTCTCCCGTCCTGCAGCGTGAGCCTTGGGAGCACACAGGCTTTGGTCTGTTGTGTTTTCAGTTGTATCCCAGAAGGCACAGAAGGCACTCAAAAAATATTAACTGAACACATGAGTGGATCCTCATAACCCTGTGAAGTAGGCATTATTAATGTCCCAGTTTACAGATGAGGAAACTGAGGTTCAAAGAGGTCAGGTGATTTGCCCACGGCCTCACAACCTTGGGTACTCCTGCCACCCTGGCTTTCTTCTGCAACCGCAAACGCACCCATGCCACGCTTTCTGCCTACATTCGGTTCCTCTGCTGCCTGCACCCCTATTTCCCCACTCCTTGTGTCTCACTAATTCCTACCTATCCTTCTGGTCTCAGCCCACTGATAGGCAACATCTCCAGACACTCCCAGCCAGCACCTTGACTACAGGAATCACCACAATTAACACCACACGCTCATCTATCTCGTATTGTTCCATGTCTCTCACACCAGAACCCAGGCTCCCCAGGACAGGACTTTAGCCATCTTGTTCTCTCCCTAGTCCCCGGGGCCTGGCACCGAGTGGATGTTTGGAAAGTACCAATATTTTCTGAACGGCTTAATGGCTTGCCTCTACTAAGGGTCGAGCCCCTCTAAGGCAGAGCCGGGGCACTTAACTCCTCTCCACAACCACTAGGTCCGAGGGACTGCGGAACCCTCGTCTGCACGCACGAGGCTCCCCATGCCTCCGCCGCCCACGAGCGCTCATCTACACCCCCCTCTCCCACAGGCCGGGCGACCAGGCTGTGGCGGTCACTTACTCTCAATGTAGCCGTGCAGGGTGACCATGCGAGCCCGCTCGGGGCTGCTGAACGGGGAGTAGTGGATGTCGTCGGACAGGGCGGAGGGGAGGCGGGACGGCGGCGCCCCGGAGGGCGGCACGGGATGCTGTGGTGTGTGCTTTTTATGACGCGCCCGGCAGTTTTGAAACCACACCTGGAACGACAGCCTCAGCAGCCTCAGCCTCGCGGAAGAGAGTCGGACGCACCGCCGGGGGACCCCAGGAGGGACTGCCTCGTCGCCAACTCAGGAAGGGCGGCCACGTGCGCCCCGAACCCGCAGCTCCGCAGCCCAGCTACGCGCTCGAGGGCCCACCCCCAAGGTCCCTAGGCCCCGCCCCAGACCCGAAGGCCCCGCCCACCCCCGGCCCCACCTGGATGACCCTTCGGCTGAGGCCCGTCATGTCCGCAAGCTTCTGCAGCGTCTGCGCGTCGGGGTTGTTGTCCTGCGCGAACTGCGCCTGCATAACCTGCCAGGCGCCGCGGGGCGGTGAGGCACGAGCCCGCCGAGGTCGCCAAGGCCCCGGCCCAATCAGAGGCTCCGGCCCGGAGGCCACGCCCCAGACAGCTACAGCCCCTCCCCGCCACCCGCGGGTCGGGCAGAGGGGCGGAGTCAGGAGGCCCGTTCAGCCCCGCCCACTCCGAGGCCCGGCCCACACCCGGCCACTCGCGGCCCGCCAAGGTACCTGCAACTGCTCGGCGGTGAAGGACGTCCGCGCGCGCTTGGCCGGCTTGGGCTGACTGTCCTGTTCCGAGGGCACTGCCCCCTCCAGCGTAAGGCCGTTCCCTGAGGGCGACAGAAGTGGCTGACCACGCGTCCCCATCTCTTCTAGTGGCAGCCTGGAAAGGACGGGGGTGGGGGGAGCTGGTCCCTGGAAGTGTCGGGAGCGGAGTGGGCTGGGAGGGGGGATCCCAGGGTCCTAGTCCCTGAGCTCAGTCTTTGGGGAAGGGGCTTCCACTTCTGAGCGTCTGCTCAGTACCAGACGCTTCTCTTTCGGTGTGCCCTTTATGTCTCACAGCCCTGAGCACGGGCGACATTATCCTCGTGTTACAGCGGAGGAAACTGAGGTTCAGAGAGAAGAAAATCCCAGCTCTGGACCTTTCGACTGGTATTCTGACAGCTGGCTGACTCTAGCGCCCCAAATTGGGCTCCCTCCTTGATAAACTGGGGAAACCAAGGGCTGGCGGAGATGGGAAGCAGGCAGGTTACAGAACTGGGATCCTAATTTTGTAAAAACGGATGGGAGCAAAAAAGGTTGGAAGGATATACACCAAAGTGTTCGCAGGAGGGAGTGGAATTATGAGGACTCTACTTTCAATGTTTCTGCAACTTTTGAAGTTTTTTCAACAATCACGTGTCTCATCGCCTTATTTCTCTAAGGTTTAACTTTGTTAACTGGAGTATACGTTAGTTATTCTCTTTCCATTTACATTACTTTTATAATCACACTAAATGTATTCCCATTTTAGTTTTTAGTACCTCATTTTTTGCAATGCAAAGGTAATAAGATGCTCCTTGCCAAAACCTCAGAAAATTCAGATAAGCACAAAGAAGAAAATAAAAATCTCCAGGAATTCCACCACTGTTCATAATTTTTTTAATTAGGAAAAACACTAAACAAACACTCCAACATACAGACATAGAACGAAATCTGGGAAGATAGACACTAAAATATGAGGGGTGGTGGCATTCGAAGTGGTCTTTATTTTCTTCTTTTTGCTTAACCATCTTTTCTTAATTTTCTATAATGGGCATGTGTGTGTTTAAGATTAAAAAGTAAACCAGTAGCCAAAACTGAGGGCTGCTCAGTAAAGGAGTCCTGAGACCATAAGCCTTCAGGTTCCCTGCGTGGTAGGAGTCTGGAGTCAGGCCTGACTGTGAGAGCTGGAGTGTAATTGGCAAGGTTGTGACTAGGGGTAGTTCTGGTTGGTCCAGGTATGGAAGGAGCCTGGAGTCACTCCTGAGCCATGGTGTGGGGGGAACCTCTAACTCCTGGGCTTCCATCCCAGCTCCACAACTGACTTGCCCAGTTACTTGCAGGTAACTTCAGAGCACTCCAGCTTCACTTGCTCCCCACCTAGACCCACTCAGCCCTGATCCTGGCTGGAGAAAGTGATGGCTCTGCTGTGGCCATGGCCAAGAACACTCTGGGGACGTCTAGACTAGTTCCTCCTCAGAGGCACTGGGGACGGGGCAGACACTTTATGACTCAGCCCCCATGATCCCAGGAAGACCTGGACCCTGTCCCTGAGCCTAAGTGTCTTGGGAAATCACAGTATCAGAGCCAGAAGAGATTTAGGGATCTTTCTAGTCCAATATCCATCTTGAAACTAGGGAGACTGAGGCCCAGAGAGAAAAGGAAACTGTATGTCAGCACAACACGCCAGAAGCAAACCTGAAGCTTGGGTCTCCAGACTCAAAGGCCTCTGTCCTTACAGTCCAGGATGAAAACCCCACCCCCAAATCTCCGGCCTGTAGCTGCTGCGGTGGGAGTTGGGAGAAGAGGGTCACTTCATCTCTCGCAGACGGGCCCAAGCCTGGTTCCAGGAAACGGGAGGGGATGAGCCTCCAGGCCAACCAGAGCTGTCCAAAGGTGGAGTAGGCTGCCCCATTATGAGAATCATCTCTAGGGTTCACTGAGCGCCTCTCGGCTTCACAGCACATCGGCTCATCTAGCTTTGAGGTGTCCTACCATCAGCCCCATTTTACAGATTAGGAAACATAATTTGCAAGGACCGGCTGTGACTTCCAACTTTCAAACAAATGGTGGAGCCAGAAGCGGCCAGATCTGTGTGCAGCCCCACTCCCATGCTGCCTGCAGGTGATAAAGGGGGCAACTGGCTCTAGCGAAGTGTGGGTAGTCCCTGGGGTGCTGGGGGGGGGTGGTCAGAGAAGGCTGGGGAGCCGAGGGGCGGCCAGTTTCGGGGCGGGGCGGGGCGGGTTGGGTACCGTTCTCGGCGGCCCGCTTGAGATTCTCAATCATGGTGTCGTAGTGGATGCGGCAGAGCACCTTCTCCTCGACCAGGCCAAACTCCTCGCCCGTGGACAGCTGGCGCTTGCACGAGAAGCAAGCGAAGCAGGCCAGGTGGTAGGCATTGCCGCGTGCCCGCCGGACCCAGTCGCTGGCGTAGATCTGTCGGCCGCACCTTGCGCACTTGGTCCCAAATCGGCTGAAGGACACGGGGTGGGGGTGGGGGGCGAAGGGGAGGGGGTGGCGAGGCTCAGACAGTGGCCCGTCTGAGCCCGGCCATGCCCAGGTTCCTGAGGGCCTTCACGCGTGCATTTCCCTTTGCCTGGATTCACCACCCCCTGCAGCCAAGTCCCACCTAGAAGGCAAGCTGGTAGGTGGTTTTTATTTTCTTCCTGGTGCTTTTCTGAGTTTTCCAAATTTTCTTCAATGATCACTTAACATTTGTATATAGTATTAACCTGCTCATTAAAATATAAGTGTTAGGGGAAATTTAATAGTAGTAATAATATAGGCAGATTTATGAGCACTTAACCACTTGCCCAGCAAGATTCTAACTGTTTTATGCTGATCGTCCCAAGTAATCTTCATTTTGCAGATGAGGAAAACGGGGACCAGAGAGGTAAAGTAACTTGCACAAGGTCACACAGCTTGCAAGGAGAGAACTCCTAGCCAGGATGACTCCAGAGGTGAATAAACTGTAACCCAGCTGTAGAGAAGCTCAGAGTTTCTTGGAAGCATAGACAGATATGCCCTTACTAGCTTTGTGACCCTGGGCACGTTGTTTAACCTCTCTGAGTTCTCATTTTCCTTGCCCTGAGCTGAACTAGGTGACAACAGCAGCTACGGCTATTTGTTTAGTGCTTTGTAGTCTATTAAGTAACCAGCTAGTCCCAGACTCTGGAGTCCTGTGTCATTCTAACAAGACAAAAAAGCCCAGATCAAATGCCCCACTCTCCCGTTAGCCTTCCTTGATTCTGCTTCTTCCCCTTCTCCCTCCCCCTTTGTGGTGTGGCTATTTGGGTGTGGCTGCCTCCACCACCAGACTGGGAGCCCCTCCAGGAAGCAGCAGTCTGATTTGCCCTGTCCCAGAAGTCAGCCCAAGGCCTGTCCCCAGAGCACCAGGGAAAATTTGTTCTTGAAGTGAATGACTCACTCTGTGACCCTGTCCGGACCCTCTGAGCCTCAGTTTCCTCTGTTTCAGGGAATGGTGCTTTCACCCATCCAGCCTCTCAAGCTTAGACACCTAAATCATACACTCCTCCCTCTCCTCAATCCCCCATCCAACCAATCATCAGGCGCTGTTGGTTCCCTTTCCTAAGTATCTCTGGGACCCATCTCCTCCTCGCCACCGCCACCACTGCCCTCCTAAACCAGGCTCCCACCATGCGCCCCTTGCTGCCAGTCTCCACACCCATCCTCCACGTAGTGGCTACAGGGAAGTTTCCAGCAGGCACACTTTACCCTGTCCGCTGCCCTGCTTAAAATCCTCTGGTGGCTCCACTCTACCCTCAGGATCTGGTCCAAGATCCTTGGGAGTTTACAAAGCTCAACAGACCACATCCTCTCTCGCTCCTCTCCTCCCTAACCTTCCTCAAGATCCCTCACCCTACACTCAAGCATGAGCCCCAGTCAGCTACAGTGGAAGGTTGGTTCCAGATCTTATGGCCCCCTCTGAAGCACTTTCCCACCCCAGGCCTTCGCACAGGCTGTTCCCTCTTCCCACCCTCCCCCCACACCCCCAGTCCCACGGCTCCCAGCACCACCTTCTCAGCAATGATCACACCGGTTTGTAAATGTCAGGTTTCTTGGCTCTCCCTTCCACCCCTGGTATTCCTGGGAAAGGAGCTAGAAGATTTGCCTCTGTGTCCCCAGAGGCACATTTCCACCCAAAAGAGCACTCGGAAATGCGTTTGAGTGCGTGGAGGAACCAGCCCAGCAAATGCGCCCTGGTTACAGCCTCGCCTGCCTTGGCAAATGCAAGCAACTGCCGGTTGAATAAACCATCTCGGGTTGAACTGAGTGCAGCAGAGCGGAGGCCTCTGCCAGCCCCGGCTCTAGACGTACCCCCAGTGCCATGCCGCTCTGTCAGACAAGGAGCCCTAGGGGACCCTGTCGGGGGGCGGCGCGGTTCGCTCAGGCAGCGCTGCGCACCTTTGCGGGTTCGGTCAATTGCCTCCCAAACAGAAGTGGTTCCCGACCCCGGAAATTCGGCTTCCCCGGCACAGCCCGCCGTCTCTGTTCCCAATCTCTCAGTAAAAAGGAGAGGAAACCGCTTTGCCCACCGGAGCCTCCTCCAGCCGAGGGGCCGACCCCAAATTCCGAGGTCCGGCTCAGGATTGGGAGAACTTCCGGGCCTCTGAAGGGAGGGAGAAGGGCCAGCCGGGTGCAGAACTCTCGCTGCGCTCCAGCGTCCTGGGGCGCAACTCTTTCTTTGCATCCCCCTCGCCGCAACCACGTGAAATGGGGACTCTGGCACCCAATTTGCACACGTGGAATCGGAGGTTCAGGGTGGACAAGTGACTTCGCCAAGACCACACGGAGTGTGGGGCAGGGGTTGAGGTCCCCTCCGAAGTGCAAAAGGTACCCCTAGAACCTGCGAAAGCAGCCGGACGGGAGATGCGTAGAGTTGAATCCCGGTGTATGAACGGGAAAGGGGCCTGGCCTGACCGAGTCGCAATCCCCACTCCGGGCCTTGGGACCTGGAAACTCCCGCGCGCAAGGCATAGGAACCCTCAGGCTCCGGTAGGCTGGGAGCGCGTTCCCAGGGAGTTGAAAGGGCCGGGAGGCGAAGGTCCGGGCCCTCAGAGGCCGGCAGGAGCCGTTGCGTCTCCAGCCTGTCGTGTTCCGGGATCAGTGCGCTGAGCCAGAGTGTAACATCTCGGATCCTGGCGCTTGGCTCTGCGGGATGCCTCGTTCTCGGCCAAGACGCATCGAAGACTCCCCGCGCATCCCTGATCTTCCCGCTCCACGAGCCCCGATGCCCGGGCGCGTTCTGCGCCTACGTTAGCGGCTCACAGTGCCCTCATCCCCTTGCTCTGAGGCGGGAGCCGCTAGCGACCTGTCAGCAACTTTCTCACCCTCTGCGTGTCACCCTAAATGCCAGGAGCTGTCCCCAGCTCTAGGAGCTCCCTGCGCTCGCCGTGTCTCCACCCAGTCAACGAAATCATCCTCCTGCTGGATCCTTGGATGGAGTTGGGGGGTCGTTTTGCAGTTTTCGGGTCGCTCCTGAAGCGTGTCCCCCACCCGGGGAAGGGGTCAGTGGCACAAACAAGGGGCACGAGGAGGCTTACAGATCCAGGCTCTGACAAACCGACAGACTCCTTCCCAGGCGGGCTGCGAGGCCCGAGCCGCCGGATTCCGGAAGCAGCGAAATCGGCGGCGGAGACAACGAAACTTCAAGAAAGGGGTGTTCGGGAGCTGCGAAGGGAGCGCCAAAACGATTAGGGGGCGCGGCCATCGCCCGCCACCCCCAGTCTTGTGCGCGCCCCTCCCTGGGTCCCCGCGCGCGCCACGGGGCAAAGGCTCAAAGCACAGAGGCGCTTTGAGGATGGAGAGATGTTGGACGGAGGCTGCGCATCCTGGCAACTGCTGGAAGGAGCGGAGTGGGCCACGCGCACCGCCTTGCCCTCTCTCCCCGGAGCAGGGAACGGAGACATCTGGGTGCTAGTGGCTCCGCAGAGGGAGCTGTGCGCCATTGACCAAGTCAGGCTCGCTCCCCCGGCCTAACTCTCCTGGATACCGAGTAAGAGCTCGGAAGTCATTGGTTGGGTGAATGAGCCTCAACGAAAGAGCCCATCGGAATTTCACTGCGACCCCTGCCCATTACTAAGCTACCCCTTTCCTGCATGAGGAAACCGAAGCTCAGAGTGGGAAGGGCAATGTTAATTAAGAAGCTAGCGAGCCAAGGCGGTGCCACTCAAACCAGGCTTCCCTTGTTCTGCGTTCAGGACGCTCGCTTGAGGGCCTTAGAGCGAGTCTATGAAGCAAACTGGGGGGATCAGAGGTGGAGTCCTTCCTATTCCTTCTGCTCCTCCCCTTCCCGGCAAACCATTCGGAGAAGCAGCCAGAAACAACAGAACCAGCAACTAAGAGGTTAAAACGGCCCACTCCTCGGAGGTCCCAGCGCAAGGCCCCTCCCCGAACGCCTTTCTCAGCTCCCCCAACATCTGTCCCCCAACAGCTGGCGGCCGCTGGGCTGCTCTCTGCCGCGGTGGGGGGCGGCTTCCCAGCTCTGAACCTCCCGGGGTACCCTAGCTCCGGGGGAGGGGGTGGGGTTCTCCCGCTGGAGTCCGAGGTCTGAGCTTGGGTTCGGGGCAGAAGGAGGGAAAGAAGGCTGCGGGCTTGTCCTAAGTGTCTCGTGCCAAGCTGGGGACAGCAGTAGGTAGGCCCCCTCCCAGGCCCAGCCCGGGGCACTCTCTGAACCCCACCCGCATAAACACAAGGAGAAGCAGTTAACCCATTACTCCCCACTCCCATGGTCAGGAGGCAAGAGGGCTAGAGACCCTGGTGACCCGATCCTGGCAAAGTTGCTCCAGTCACTGGGACTCTGAGGTCACTTCACTCCAGCCCTAGTACTCCCAGGGCCCACCCATGGAGAGTCACACAGCACAGCAGGTGCTCCCTATGGGAGCCCTAGGCCCACGGGGGGTGGGGTGGGGGTAGGTGGCCTTTGCCATTGCATGGGCCCCACCTTGCACAGGGTGGCTGCTGACATGTCTCGGCTATAAAAGAAGAGTATTGAGTATCTAGACCCAGGGATGGTGAGTCAGGCAGCCCCGGGGCTTATCCCAGTTCTGCCGCTTATTAGCTGTGTGACCTCACCACTCAGGGCCTCAGTTTCCCCTCCTATAATGTAGGGATTATGACAGTAGCCTACTCACAGGGGGAATCTGAGGAGTCAATGACATAAAACAATGAGATGTAAAGGGTCAACACAGTTCCTGGCTTAGAGAAGAGCTCCGTAAGGTCTCCTGACAGTGTCCTCGTCCCTGTCTGGTCCCTTCTTCCACTCTCTCGCTGGTGGGACCCGGGGCACAGCACTTTCCACTCTCTCAGGACATCACCTCCCCCACTCTACAATAGGCAAGACGCTTCAGGAGGCCAGGAGCTTGAAGGGCACTGCAGACCAGTTCGTGCCTGCCTTTGGGGGGCGGCAGCCACAGGTTGGTGGGCAGGAGGCAGCTGTCTGGGGTTTTGAGTGCTGAGGGCAGTGGAGACATGAATGCCCCAGAAAGGAACGCTATTTTACCCCCAGGACTTTTTTTTTTTTTTCACTTCTTGGAAGAAAATAAAAAACAGTCTTAAACCCAAAAAAGTGAAGAAATTAAAAGCAATACACATTTTCTTGGTGGTAGTTTTTTTTTTTTTTTTCTGCTAGGACTCAGGGGGTTAGGGGAGGTGGGAATCTGGTTGAAGCCACAAAGGCTGGTGAGGTCCCTCTTTGGATGGCAAATGGAGAAACTGAGGCAGAGAGGTCCAGCGACCTCACACTGAGGACACACAGCCAGTGGAAAACCAATCCCTTCCAACAATGCAAAGCCAGGAGCAGCATTGGACCCCTGGACCACCTCCCCACCCAGGCTCTGCAGCCTCCTGCCCCGATGAGCTTGGAGTGCCTTCCTAACTTCTAGCTTCCTGAGTCCCCAACGCTGCCAGCTCTGCCAAAGGAGATGGAAGAGGGGTCTACAGGCCAGTGTCAAGGAGGGGCAAGATAGGGGATAGAACTGAGAGGAAACTTTTCCCTGGGGAATAAGACCAGAGCCAGAGGACCTCGGAAGCTACCAGTGCCCCCTCCAGGGGGTCTTGGCCACTTCCTCCCTCCCTGCATCCTGTCCAGAGATCTTGGCCTCTCTTTGGGGTGAGCGCTCCAGTCCACTTCCCATCAGACTCTCGACCTTGGGCTTCAGGAAACAGAGGGCTAGAGGATCTGAGCGCTCAGCCCTTCCCTGAGCCCCAGCTCTAGAGAGGGGCTCTGTCTCCCGTGCTCCCATTCCTGCTCTCTCCAGGAGGGGCTCCTTCACAGCAGCCGCCCAGAGCCTGGGCTGCCACGCGGGGCACTCAGTAGTCCCCGCCTGGCGCTCCGCCTGCTTTTTTCTCTCCCTTTCTGTGGGTTTTATTATTTTTGTTACAGGTGGGGCTGCCAGGGATGAGTTATGCCTGCAGGGAGACCTGGCTGGGGGAGAAATGATCAGAAGAGCCACAATTCTTCTCTCATCCCAAGGAATGTGAGCTTTTATTCTCTCCATTTTCTTAACCAAAAATCTGTTTTAGTTTTGCTTTGGGGGCTCTTGTCACTGCTGGAAAAGGATTAGCGTTCAGAACCTGCAGCCCAGAAATGGCCCATCCCCATCCTGGCTCCCCAGACTGCCTGAGGAAATGCCATTAGGGGATTATGTCTGGAATCCTGTCACCAATGGTGACAGTGGTGACATCCGTAGCACCTACACTTTAGGGAGCCTCTACTGAGCCTTCCTCCCTTCACTGGCCTCCTTGGCAGCCCAGAGAGATAACCCTGGTAGGAGGACACTGAGGACAGAAAGATGCAGGGATTTGCCCAAGGTCACACAGTGATCAGGGTTGGCCTGGTGGAGCCTGGTCTCTGTGTCTCCACAACAGCTGGACGTCCCATTCCCCACCCCACCGCAGTGGGAAGGGGGACTCCACAGCCGGTGAGGTGCTGAACAGAGAGGTCAGGATCTGAGTTTTGACTAAGCCTTGAAGGTCTAGGAAAGCATGTCAACCACGGGGGCTTGGTCCAGCCTGGGCATGAGCTGGGGCTGGAGCTGCAGCAAGGACATGTGGCTCACAGGGTGGCAGGTCTGTCCCCACCAGGAGAGCAAGGAGAGGGGGCCAGGCCTGCCTTACTCTACGGGAAGAGGCCTGCTGGGTTTCCCAGGCCTCAGCCGTGTCCCTGGATAGCTGATGAACCCAAGGAGCTCTGAAAGAGTAGCTGGCTTGTTTTTCTTTTCTTTTTTTTTTTTTTTTACCAACTGGAGTCAGGCCTAGAGCAGGGTACTGGCTACACAGGGACCCTAACCTCCCTCTCCTGCCCTGGCCAGCTAAGTGTCAGATGGGACAGTGGAGGGGAGACATCACACTCTGGTTACACACCACACAATGATAAGCCCGCTCTCACATACACACACACACCACAGCCCACATCCACATCCACAAATCCACATTCACCTCACACCGTTGAGCCCCCAGTGCCTGGGTTAAGGCCGTAAGCAGAAATGCCCCCTCAGAGGAGGGCTGTGTGGCGGGATGGGGAATGAAGGGATTTCAGAACCCTCACCTGCTCACCTCCAGATCCCAGTCCAGATGTGAACTTGTCCTGACCACCTTGCACAACGCATACACACACACGTGCACACGCGCACACACACACGGTCCCGACATTCACACAGCCACACACTCTCTACACTCACACATAAACTAAAAGACAAATGTTTGTTGTAAAGGAACACCTACGCTGTCCACACACCCCTCACCCTGCTCAGTGACACATTCCCCCAGCACCACTGCACAGATCCGGGCAAGACAGACACACAAGCATCCCTGAGTCCCATGAGTCCCAGGCCACCTGGCAGAGCCGCCCCTCCCCATGCACACCCCAGCTGCACTGCCACTCACAGCCATGCACCAGGAAGAGTCCGTTTTCTCGAACCAGGCTTCCTAAGGTTTCCTTAGAGTACCCCAGCCCCCAATGCTGCTAGCTTCTTCCTAGATTCAAGGTCCTCTCTTTCCAAGTTCCCAGAGACTCAATGCCGGGGAAGGGGGCGGCACTGCCTTCTACTGCATCCCCTGACTCAGGGGATCTTTCTGGGGCTGGGGTCTTCCCAGGAAGACTGAAGCCATGACCTCTCCCGAGGCAAGGATGGGAAGGATGTCGGCGGACTGGGGAAGGGGGTGGTGGTGGTTATAGGGGAGTAGCTTTCTCCACTTCCTGAGAAAGCCCTTGGGAACAGGCGTGCGGCCCAGGAACCAATCTCACTCTGCTCTCTTTGGACTCCGTAGGCCCGCTGGACGGGCTTCAGGCCTGCTTCACGCTTCCCGCCGGGATCGAGCCGGCAGCCGCTGCTCCTCTGACCTCGCAGTGACCTCGACCCCGTGACCGGGTCAGGCCCGAGCTGCGCGGTGAGAAGCCAGGCGCAAGCGACGGAGAAGCGGCGGGAGGACTAGCCGGGCTGCTGTTGAGAGCTGAGCGGCGGGGACGCGGCACCGCGGCACAGAGAGCGCAGCCCAGGGTGATCCTACTCGGGGCCCTGGCTACGGCGCCCGACTCCCCCTTCCTGTCCCGGCGGCCCAAAGTCAGAGCCTAGACCCCAGAGAGGCTGAAGCCGGGGCCCGAAACGACGACGGCGCTGGGACTGGAACAGGCACCTGGGATGCAGGCAGAACCCAGACTCGAAACACTATACTCGAGCGATGCCGGGGTCTGAGTTGAGGCGGAGCCGGAGACCGAGGTCGGGAGTTAGATCGATGAGCTTGAATATGGGTTCGGATCCGAGACCGATGCGAGGCTAGTGCTTGGGGCCGGACCAGACTCGAATCCAGCCTCGAACCCGGCCGGGGTAAAAGCCGAAACCAGAGCCAGGGCAAGAGTCTGGAGCCCAGCTCAGGGTCCTGCCCGGGAGAGACGGCGGCTTGGCTGGAGTAGGAGTAGGGTTGGAACCCAGAGCCGGAGCGCACCGGAGATGCAGCCAGGTCGGCTGGGATACGAGCGGATCGGGGCAAGACGGGGACATCAGAGCTCGACCAACGCGCTGGAAGTCGGAACTTGAGCCTGAGACTCGGGCAGGATCCGAGACCGAGCCAGAGACGCGACCAAACCCGAGTGGGCCACAGCAACCGGAGGCGGATCAGCGGCCCGAACCTGTGCTGGCACCCGCGCTCGGCCTGGAGCTCCTGGTTCGTGGCGCTGAGAGCCGGTGGGCTGGGCCCTCGCGGCGCGCCAGAGCATTCGGGACACGGGGGCTCCGGAGCCAGAGACAGCGCGTCGCAAAGGCGGCCTCCGCGCGCCGGTGGCCTGCCTGCGGCGACATTGCTGGCCCAGCGGCCGCAGCCTACCTGAAGTAGTCCATCTTGCAGAAGATTTCCTTGTTCTTGATGTAGCAGCTGTTCTGCTGCCTCAGCGACGTGCGACACACGGAGCACTCGAGGCACCGCACGTGCCAGATGAGGTTGTTGACCTGGGGAGGGGGTGGAGATGGGGGGCGGCTCAGCGCGGGCCTCTTTTCACGCCCGGCCCCAGCCTCCCCGGCCCCATTTGCAGACAGATACGCCAGAGCGCTGAAGGTTCATGGGACTTCCCCACTTTTCTTCTGTAACACAGACTCAGGGAGGTAGAAATCAACTCTGCCCATTTTTCAGACAGGAACCCGGGAACGCAGAGAGACGCTACGATTTGCCCGAAGCCACGCAGTCAGGCAGGGATGAGCCAGGTTTCGAATTTAGTGGACCTGGCGCCGGCATCGTTTCCCTACAGTCCTCTGGGTTGCAACCCACACCCCACCAACACACGCAACACTCCGCCCCTGTCTCACCTTGAGCAGATATCGGTCCAGGATCTCGAGGCCGCAGCTGGAGCAGATGTTCTTGCCGGCAGACGGCACGGAGGAGGCGGCAGAGGGCGGTGAGCAGACAGATGGCGTGCTGGGCGTACAGGGAGAGGCCCGACCCTCGTCCTTGTCCAGAGGGCCTGCCAGGGCCTCAGCGTCCGACTGAGCCTGCAGTGGGGAAAGAGGGAGAGCCGCGCTCTGAGCTGAGGGCTAAGCCAGGTGCCCAGCGTTGCTGCTGCCTCGGAGACAAATCTGGGGCCTCAGCGAACCAACTAACAACGAAATGCCCCCGAAACGACAAGCCGCGGGCTACAGGACAGGAATGGAAGGGCCTACTGAAGAGGACAGGACGACTCCAACTTTTAGCACGCGCTTCCTAGGTGCCAGGAGCAGTCAAAGCTCACATTCCCGGCCAGAAAACCGAGGCTCAGAGAGGGGCGGCGCCCTCCTGCAGTCCCCCAGCGCACGGGCAGCTGTTCGGGGCCGGAAAGCCGGGTCAGCTCCCCAGGGCCCGGCCGCCGGGAGACCGGGGACCGAAAGCAGGGCCGAACGAACTCACCATGGCGGGCGGCGCGGTCCCTTCAAGGCAGCGGGTGGTCGCTTTGCAGCCGGACCCTGGCTGGGCCATCACCTGGGGGAGGGGGGAGGGAACGCAGGCGGCGGCGGCTGCAGAACTGGCTCCGCGCAGCCTGAGCCCAGCGCCTCCCCGCGCCTGTTATATAAACCGGCGCGGAACAATGAGTCCTAACTTTGTAGTGGGCATTTAAAGCCCTTCCCCACAAAAGCGGTGTCTCTCTAATGAAGCAATTTGAATTTGGATTGGATTTTTTCCCTCTCTCTCCCCCTCTCCCTGCACTTAACCCGTGGCTCTTGAAGTAATCGCTTAGTTCCCTTGCAATACAAGCCTCTGAGGGGGAAAAAAAACACGCGCACACATACAAACTACCTGCAATTAGAAATTGTCGTGAATGCCCAAGATAAGAGGTAGCCAGAGTGTCAATTCCAACTGTCAATCAGTGAGATCCATCAGGCCGCCCAAAGAATTGCAAATTTGATTTTTTAATGGTAGTAATTAAAAATCGAATTTTTTCTCCCTCCACCCACCCCCTTCCTCGCTCCCTTCTCCTCCTCTCGACACAAAATGCAAAAAGGAGAAAAGAGAGAAAGAAAGAAAAGAAAGAGATGGGGGGTGGGCGCTTGAGGAAAATAAAACCGGGAGCGTTGGGAGCACCAGCCCGTCCACCCCGCGCGCGCGGCGAAATCGGTGCGGCGATACCGACTCGGATTCAGGCGCCTTTCGCGGGCCAGTCGGAGGGAAACCCAGAGCAAAACAGGGGCTAGATCGGGGCCGAAACGGGACCAAAAAGAGAAAACGGAGACGTCCAAGAAGGGGAAAAAGCACCCTCCAGCCCCTCGGAGCGCCCGGGACCGGCCCCGCGCCGAGATTCTCAGCCTTGCGCCCGAACAACCCCCGGCGCATTGGCGCTATCAGCGCCTATTCAGACGGACAATACCCGCCTCGCCTCCTCTTGATTCGCCTGTGTCTTTGCTAAATCGCTTTTTGAGAAATTCCTTCAAAATTTGCATAATGTGTTCCCGCTTTCCGCGACCCCCCCTCGCGTTCCTGCATGCTCACACACTCACATACACACACTCCCAAGCGCACCCCAGCACCCCTCCGCTCTGCGGCCGCCCGCCACCCGGCCCGGCCCGGCTGGGTCTCGGCCCCTGTCCGACCCCGGCCCGGACAACTCACCCACTCGCTCTCTCGCTCGCTCACCTGGTCGGTGGCGGGGCCGCCCTCGGCCGGCAGCCGGCAGCCCTCGGGCAGCGCCGGGGCGGCGTTCTCATGCTTCCAGTACATGGGCCGGGGAGCGGCGGGCTCAGCGGACGCGCAGCGCGGAGAGCCGCGCCAAGGGGGGCCACGGCCGCAGCGGGAGCAAAGGCTGAAGCAGGAGCTGGAGGAGAGCGGAGGCGCCGGCCCCGCCGCCCCGGGCCCGGTCCCAGCCGCAGCCCCCGCCCCCGCCCCGAGCCCCGGCCGGTACGCAGCCCTGGCCTCCCTGGCTGCCTCCGCCGCGGTCTCGGAAGAAGGTCCCGACAAACTTGGAGAGGCCCCCGCCCCCTCCTTCTTCTCCTCCTCTCCCTCCTCCTCTCCCTCCTCCTCTCCCTCCTCCTCGTCCTCCTCCCCCTCCAGCTGCGGCGGCGGCTGCCCTGCCGCTGGAGCCCCGCTCGGTTCAAGATGAGTCATGCGTGACCAATCCCCTCCCCGCCAAGGGAGAGCGAGACACAGCGAGGCAGCGACCCAGAGACGCACACAGACATATAGACACACAGAAACTCAGAGTTGCTGACGGAGAGACTCAGAGACACGCTGACATACAAAGGCACCCTCAGGCACACACGCACCCAGCTCTCACCACCGCCCCTCCCTCAAGGGGCACCCACAGACCTCAGGCACAGCCCCACTTACTGGTACGAGAGGGATGCATGGTCACACCTTGGGCCGAGCTGGGTTTCATATAAAGTCACACATTATACTCCATTGATGCAATCCATGCCTCCTACGTTTGTGTACATCTGATGCAAATGATGACCTGTTCGCAGCATTTACAGGAGCACAAGACATCTACACACACTCACACACCTGCGCAGCTGCCTCTGCTCCATAACAACTAAAGAGCACACCAGTTCCTCAGGGCGTGGGCTACATCCCATCCTAAATGGGATTGGGCTGGGTTGGGGGGGGGTGCTCCCCTGAATTCTCCAGGGAGGGATTGCCTGGGACACCCCCTTCTTTGCAGAATTTGCTGAGCTATCCAGTCTAATGCCATCTCACCTTCTCTAGGGTTCTACTGATAGTGAGAGAGGTGGGGAAAGCAAGGAGGCCCAGGCATTTAGGTAGGAGAGACACAGCCGCCAAAGACTCAGGCACAAAAGCCTCAAACTCAAAGACCAGGCCTCACACACACTAACATACTACACACACGCACAAGTGGACACTCACAGCCTCAATGCCCTTCCCACACGAACTGAGCTTAGGGAGACATGTAAATATAGGTCATCTGAAAACAAACACGCACACTTAGATCTGGCCCTACAGACACTACACACCCCACCTCCACCAAGTTGCACATACCACCTCCTCCCTAACTGCCCTCATTTACAAATGTAAACACCCCACACAACTATTCTTACATGTGTACACACATCCATAGTTAAGAGAGCACAGACTCCCATGGAGCTCCAAACCCATGGAAAACCCCGTGTCCTCGACTCAAACACCCTCAGATATACACACATATCCCTACAGATGGCAAGGTAACCATTTATAGTCAGAAACAGCCTACACACCTCTGCAAACAGAGGATTCCCAGTAGTCACGGTTTCAGTCATGCACACACATAGGCACATCCTAACAGACACAGGCAGACAAGGGTATCTTCCCTCCAGTGTAATACTAAAGACTCACACCTGCATCCTCGAAAGAGACAAATATCTGTTTTTTTACAGACACCAAGGTACACGGAAATGGCCCAGCCTCAGCCAATGGCATTTCCCACCCGCTGCATTTCCAGCCATTTATTGCTCTCAGATACAGACATTCAGAGTGAAAAGTTTCTCTTGGGACCCTAATCTTTTTTTAGTATATAAATTTATTTATTTTATTTATTTATTTTTGACTGTGTTGGGTCTTCATTGCTGCACACCAGCTTTCTCTAGTTGCGGCGAGCGGGGGCTACTCATGGTGGTGGCTTCTCTTGTTATGGAGCATGGGCTCTAGGCACGCCTGAGGCATGGTAGTTGTGGCGTGAGAGCTCAATAACTGTGTCTTGCGGGCTCTAGAGCGCAGGCTCAGTAGTTGTGGCACACAGGCTTAGCTGCTCCGGGGCATGTGGGATCTTCCCAGGCCAGGGATCGAACCTGTGTCCCCTGCATTGGCTGGTGGATTCTTAACCACTGTGCCGCCAGGGAAGTCCCTGGACCCTAATCTTTTCTACTAAGAGCACAGTTGCAATGTGAAAGCTGGTGCATATGCAAACACATACACACGCACCCTCATACATCCACGTGACCACAGACAAACAACATCCTCTTCCTCAAATATCTTTTTTGAACATAATGAACCCAGCAGCCACTCCTTGGAACTTTACTCCAGGACAGGCTTCACATTTTACAATCATGACTTTATTATCTTTTTCACAATAACCCAATGAGGTAGTGTCTCTTCTTGTACCCATTTCACTGATGAAGAAACTGAGGTTCAGCGAGATCATGTGATACATCCAAGATGGTGCCACATGGCTAATAATTGTCAGGTCCAAGAGCTCAAAACCAGATTCATCTGACATCAGAGTTTATGCTCTTGATTTCTAGGCTACATACATGACCATGTCCACTCTATGCATACACACAGACACACATGTGCCCCCCCCACAGACACATTTTCCATATTATCCATCAAAAGACCTGGATATGACTCCTGGCCTCATCATTTAAGGACTAAGCTTGCTTTGTCATCTTCAAAATGGAAATAATGGTCGGGCGACTTTATCTCCTTGTTCTCCTCCCCTCTGGGTAGCTGGGGGAAGCGGGAGGTCATTGAACATTATATGAAGCTGCACATATGTCAGATGTGTGAGTGCAGAAAGACTCCAGGAAAGAAGAGGCCATGAGGATGGTACTGGCTTTGCAGGCAAGAGGTGCGGAGGAGGCTTGAGCTAAAACGAAAGGGCAGATGAAATATGGGTGCATTCGTGGGAGAGAAGAAAGTATTCCAGGTAGAGAGATGACGGCCAAGATTCAGAGGCTGGACAAACAAGCTGTTGTTGTCCTATGAGAAAGAACGTGAAGGATTCGCTCCCTAAGTGGTGGTGGTGGTAATGATAATAATAATAATAATAATAATAAAACTACTGTTTATTGAGCACTTATGTGCCAAGCACTGTTTTACATGCATTATCCTCTTGACCTCTTGCAATAACTCTGCATGGAGGTTATATTATTATACTTATTTCATAGTTGAGGAAACAAGCTTACAGAAGCCTCATTTCAAGCTCTAGCACTCAGACTCCAGAACCCAAACTCTTACCTACTATGCAATTCTGCTCCTGAATTCTGATATGGCACTCAGAAAGTCAAAACTAGAATAACAGGCATTAAACTCAGTAGGGAAGCACAAATACCCTGGAGTCGGACTGCCATGGTGCCAGTCTTGACATTGCCCCTTACTACCTGGAGGACCCTGGACAAGTTATTCAGCCACTCTTCAGCCTCAGTTTTCTCATCTGTAAAGTGGGAATGATAGCAGAGTGCACTTGTTATGCTTGTGAAAATTAAGCAAATGATTCATGTAGAAGGGCTCAGAACCGTGCATAGCACACAGAAAGCAACCAATAAATATTAGCCATTGTTACTATGGACTGGCTGCCTTTTCCAGTTGTTTTTCTAGTAGGTGCCACATCAAAGAAAATTTTTATGGAGGAAGGCAGGGCATAAGTCAACCAAAGAATCAAATATTCTCCTGAATAACTGCAGAACCATTATTCCAACCCAGGGCTTGCCTGACTTCAAAGGGGACAGAAGTGAAATTGATCTGAAAGAGAAATCTCTTCCAGCAACTCCTGACTCCAGCAGGAAAGAGAGTCCGGATAGGAGTGACCTTGGCAAAATCAGGATTAGCAAATTCAGTACATTCTATCAGAATCCTGGGGTTCTTCCTATGGGAGACTGCGGGCAGGTCACTTAGCTGCTCTGAGCCTCAGTTTCCTTACTTGCAAAAAGGGAATAACAGTACTTCCCTCTCAGGATTGTGGTAACAATTAGCCGTATATTAAAAACTAATATTTTAAAAGTGTTGCCTCTACTTCTGGCACAGTATAAGCACCTTCCGTGTATAACGCCAACAGTAGTCCACATATATAATGTCATCAGCATCCTACATGTACGACGTCCTGAGCGCCCTGCATGTGTAATGTCTTCTAGTTCTCACCTCAGTCTTTCTCCTGGTCATTAAATAGGATGCGGTCATCCCATCCCCTGGGGTGAGTTTTGCAATCCTCCTCCACCTGAGTCACAGTCCAAGATTTGGGTTTAAAAAGAGGCTTCATTAGTAACTGGTGAATTCTGTGGGATCGCCCCCAGCAGCGGTTCCGCCCCACCGGGGAGTAATTCTAGGAAGGTAATGTGAGCTGGGGGAGGCTGGAGACCCAACTTCACATTTATTTACTGTGACAGCTAAATTGGTGAGCACGGGGGGACATCAGATGAAAGGCATTTCAGAGTAAATACTAAATACAATATTTAAACGTACAGGTTGTGACAAATGGGAGGAGGTGACAGGAGAAGACACGGGCAGCGCTCCCCTCCCTGGCTCAGGACCCAGTCCTCACCTGTCACCTTCCTGAGCACTTCCTGTTTGAGTAGAGGAAAGAGCACAGGATGCAGTACGGACCACATGACCCTAGGCAAGCAATTGACCTCTCCTGGCCTCGGCGTCCTCATCGGTAAAATGTGTGTGTGTTATTTGAATCAGATGATGGTGGAAGTGATGGAGAGACCACTAGCCTTGGAGTCAGATAGACCTGAGGTCAAATCCCAGCCCAGTCACTTCCTGGCTGGGTGAACTTGGACTAGTCACTTATCAGCTTCCTAAACTATGGGGATAATAACCTCAGAGGTTACATGAGATAATCAGTGTGCAAGGGCTTTTAGACTTCAAAGTATATTGCAAATGTGAGCAGCTGTGATCACAAAGTCGTTCAGTCCTCTTTCAGTTCTGACGTCCACTGTGTAAATTCAAGTCAGCAGACATTTATGAAGCACTGACTCTGCGCCAGGCTCCAGACGAAGCACAGGGAACAGTAAACCATGAGGAGCCCCGTCTACAGGGCGAGAAGAGAGCCAGCATTTGCAGTGTAGCAGGACAGGTGCTACACAGTGGGGAGCACAGGTGCTAGAGAAGCAAGGAGGAGGGGCATTGAAACTGGCTCA